TGGGAAAAAGTGGGCCCCACATCGAGCCGCGTGGGTTGGCGGTGGACAAACCTCCCTTTAAAAAACCACTCTTTAGTGACAACGGACTAGGACCGAAACCGACGGACCTGGACCCGCAAAAATGACGGCCGCGACGCCCTCTCGCGAACCGAAAACGGCCAATTCGCTAATCGACGTGTCAGGGTACGAGGTTTATCAACCTCCGAATGGGCGATGCATCGCCGATGCATCGACGATGCACCGGCGACGTTGCGAGATCCTCCGACCCCCCGTCTTCTCCGGCCGAGGACAAAAAGAACACACGTCCGAGTGACTCCAAAACCCTAACCTGAGGTCGGGCATGTTCCCCTACAGTGGGATTTTGAGTGAAAAATTAAAAACATGTCCAACAATGAACCAAAATTGCCATACTTAGTTCAAAAATCGTCCCCTGACAATTTTGTAACTATGTTGAATGCTCCTCCTGTAGAGGGACAGGCCCGACTTAGCCCGAACCCCAAAAACGGAAAGAACATGTGCGGAGTTCCGTGCTCGGATGGGCGCTGGGCCCCTAGCTCCGGCCCCGCAAGCCGCCCCTGGCGCGCTCCGCGAGCCAGGGAGGGGATGGTCCAGCGCAGATCCCAGAGATCCGCGCGGAGCTCCGAAAGCTGCTGCCGCTGGTGCAACGTGCTGTGCTTCGATGTCCCCCTCCCGACCGCTTCTGCCTTCATCCCCGCTCCGACCGCCCGCGCCTGCCTGCGATGGAGGGAGAGGGGAGGGCGGGAGGAACAGAGGCACGGGGAGGGCGAGCAGCAGCATCACGCAGACGCCTCCCCAGCGTGTGCCCTCCAATGCGAGAACCGGCGCCTATGCAACGTACCATGTCTGGCCTCCCTGTCGGCTGCGCTCTGGCGCGGTGCGGTGCGTAGTTCCGCGGCTCGGAGGACCGAAGGCTACGCACCGTACCACCCCCAGGTCGAGGACTCGCCATCGCTCGGACGTCGATTTCCCCCGAACGTTCGTAGGTTTCTTGCGTGCCTCTTCTGCCAGATGATCAAGGATGCCCCTCGATGGCCCTCGCGGCGAAAAACATGCACACGTAAGAGCGAGGCCAACAGGAACGACGCCTTGGGGACGCAAACGCGCTACGGTGGAGGCCGGGCCACAAGAAACCTGCCACAAGAAGCCCAACCCTGAGATCACCCAAGACGTCCATGGATTTGTGGTGTGGGAACGCCACGCTTTCCACCGCAGAACCATCGAGACCCAAGAGACCCAGGGCACCCTGGAGGCGGGCAGGGTGTCTCTTGGCATGAGCCTCTACTGTTAAGTCGGGCGTGTCCCCCTACAGGGGTATTTTCGACGAGAAATAAAACATACTCCGCAAATGCCCCAAACTTGTGAAAACAAGACTCAAAACATAGTCCCCAGACTATTATTTCACCATTTTTGAATATTCCTCCTGTAGAGGGACGAACCCGACTTAATTCTACTGCACGCTGCACACGGGATCAAAGCAGGCAGACTGGGTAGTCGAAGCCAATCTGGCAGGCCCAATCTGGCAGACCCAAATCGTCCAGCTTGGCAGGGCCAGATTGGCCCTTGGGGCCCAATCCAATCTGACAGTCTGGCCTTCGACTACCCAGGCAGAGGAGCCATCCTGTCAGGGCAGCCAGCGCCGCTCTCGCCGATCTCACCTGGGCACCGGGGGCGCGCGCGGAGGGGCACCAGCTTTGAGCATCGCTTCACCGATCCCCATCCCCGACAGTTAGGAGGCATCTACTGGGAGGTCTTCGTCGGAAGGATTAAGGAGGATCAAGCCCCATTGCCAATGGGGCTTGATCCTCCAATGGGCCATTGGGGGGCTGTTACGCCAGAGTGGGCCTCGGATCAAGCGGGATTAAGCCGGATTAAGCGGGATTAAGCGGGATCAAGCCGGATCAAGCGGGATCAAGCCGGATTAAGCGGGTCTTGGACCAGGGCTAACCCAGAATTTGACCTCCCAGAGATTGCATCCTAACAACAGCGTGGGCTGGGCACCACTGGCCGATGTGCCCCCGCGTCAGGGGATCTGGGCTGCTGCTCTCTTCGGGTTTCGAGGGGCACATCCCCCACTGAGGTGGTGAGACGGTGGGGCTCGAGATGCGGATGGGGCTCTGGCCATCGCTCGGACGTCCGTTCCCTGTGTTTGTTGTCGGTTTCGTGCGTGCTTTTATTATTCTTCTTCTTATTATTATTATTCGTATTATTATTATTATTAATATTATGAATATTATTATTACTATTATTATTATTCCCGCCAAATGATCAAGGATGCTCCTCGATGGCCCTCGCCGACGGAAACATGCACACGTCCGAGCGATGCCAAGGGAGCAAGGGCTGTGTTGGGTGGCGGCACACGCATGCGGGCGGTGCCACTGGGACCTTCGGTGGAGCCCCCGTTATATGGGGCCACGAAGCGCTGTGCTGGATGGGTGAAACGCAGGAACAAAAAGGGAGGAGGGAGGGGAGGAGGGGGAGGAGGAGGAGCAATGGAGGGGGGAGGAGGAAAAAAGGGAGGAGGAGAAAAAAGGGAGGAGGGGGAGGAGGGGAGGAGGGGGAGGGGGAAAAAAGGGAGGAGGGAGGGAAGGAAACATGCACACGTCCGAGCGATGCCAAGGGATGGGCATGGGGGTCGGCTGCACGATCCTGGCGCTGGCCATCGCCGGGGCGTCCGCTCCCCGTGCCTCTGTCGGCGTCGCGCGTGCCTCTCTTGCCTGCCAGGCGATCCAGGATGCTCCTCGCGGCGGCGAGCCTGGGAAAGAGGCGTGTGTGAAGGGGCCCCAGGACACGCAAATAAATACACACAAGCAAAAAGATTCCCCATATTTTCCTCTATAGTTTCTGGGCTTCTGTCTTCCCCCCCACTTCCCAGAGTTTCCCATATTTTTTCTGGGGAATCGAGGATTCATTGTGCCCGTGTGTTTCTTTTCCTCCTGAGTGTGAGATGCCCCCCCTCCCCCCCTCAAAGTGAAGGTCCAAAGTCGCGCGTTGGAGCGGGAACGGCGCCTGCAGGGCGTCTGCACAGGCGCCCTGCGCACATGGCCGCCAGAGACCGGGCCAACACGACCTCGGAGGCGAACAGCGGCAGAAGAGAAACTGCCTGGCACTCGGGAGGCGCCTGCCCCAGGGCGGCTGAAAAACTTCTGCCCCAACGGTTGCGGGCGGGGGTATCAACTCTCCTAAAGGGGCCCTAGGACACACAAATAAATACACACATATGAAACAAACCATACTTTCCCATATATGGGGGATGTTTCGTCTTCCCCCCCACTTCCCATATTCTCCCATATTTTCTGGGGAATCGACGATTATTTGTGTCTGTGTATTGTTTCCCTCCTGATCTCCATCAGCCCTGGGGCTGGCGCCCCCGACGGCGGAAAAGGCTATCTTATACCGTTCTGCGCCCACGAGCCGATCGCTGGCTTCGGGGCGCAGATCGGGCCGCCTGGGCTGTTCTCTGACGGCCCCGGGGCCCCGAAGCCGGCCCCGAAGGTTAGAAGGCCCAGGGTTCGCTAGGGACTGGTTTCCTCCCAAGACAACAAAACCCCTTCCCAAACCCTCCCGAGACCCTCCGAAAACCCTCCCGGAGACCTTCCCGGAGGGTTTTCGGATGGTTTCGGGAGGGTTTCGGCTGTCTCGAAAGGACACCTGTCCTGAGCTAACCCTGGACTTTCTAACCGTTCGGGCTGAAGAGGACGAAGCACCCTGCCTTCCTCGAAATCCGACGGCGCGAGCCAACTTCGGACACCGTGGAGGAATCGCTGCCAGAGCAGCGAACCCCCTCTGCGGGCAAGCCTTGTGCCCATTCCACTGCACCTCTGAGCTTCGGGCTCCCCTCCCCAGAAGCCCGAGGCGCTCTGGACATGGATACAAAAAATCTGGCCCCTGGAGGCTCGATCCTTGTCCATATGCAGTGCGCCTCGGCCTTGTGCTGTCTTGGTGGCCCCCAAACCAGGTGGTGAGACACCAGGTGGCGACCTGGAATCCCCCAAAAAGTCATCGCTGGGTTTGGGGACGCGGGGTCACCACCGGGTTTTGTGACTCCTGGACCCACCAGTGTCCGGGACATCCTCGGAAAACCGCACGAGTCCCCAAACCGGGTGGTGACACCAAATCGCCCGAGTTTCACCGCCAGGTGTTGTCACCACCACGTTTGGGGACTACCAAGCTGTCCCTTCCAAGACAGTCCAGGACGCATCGGATGTGGACCGAAGTCGTGCCCGCACCGTCCTGCTGCATCGTCTTTCGAGCTGGATCGATCCGTGCAGCTCCCGGGGCTCGAGCTCGGGCAGAAAAACGCTTGGCTCGAAGCAATCGGGCGGGTGGTAATGGAAGCGACCACGATGGGGGGGGGGGTGCAGAAAAAGTGCCCCTTTGGAGCCCTTTACCTCACCCACCCTTTGGGTCACCCCCAAGTGCCACCCGACCGAACCAAAGTTGAGTCGCCAGGACCTCGGGGTTGATTCTCTTCGCGACGTCGGAGGCGTCGGCCCGGGGGTCGAACACAGCTGCGAGGCCCCAAAATGTACACCCCCTCCCTCCTTGGAAAAAACAGTGAATAACAGGTATATGTCGACCCCTATCCCAGGCTCTGGGAGGTTTTCGAATAGATAACAAAGCTGGGGCGCAACCCTAGGATGCACGATGAGGGGCGTCCATCCTCGATAGGGGTGCGTCCGAATAGCCCCCTTGGGGTGTATCCCAGGGTTTCCCCCTTGTTCTGAGCGGCCAAACATTTCAAGCAGGACTCGGAGAGTGGGTTCAGCAACATCGCTTGCGATGAAAGAGGATGGTGGAGGAGCGAAAAGGGAGAATGGAGGCAGTGGTGGCGCACATCACTGCGGCCCGCAAAAACCCGGCCCGCAGGCTGCTTGGGGTAGCGCCCTGACAAGAATCTCCAGGCGGATCCAGCCGCAGTCACGAATTAGAGGCCTCCTAGAAGGGGTCCGAGTAGATGCGGTCGAAGGATCGCGCCGCATCGCCAATGCATCGACGATGTATCGGCGATGCATCGGCGACGTCGGAGTGGGGAAACACGGGCTCCACATCGAGCCGCATCGTTGATGCATCGGCGATGCGGCGCCATCCTTCGACCCCATCTACTCGGACCCCATCTAGAAGGCCAACACGATCCTCGCTCGCCCTCGATCCTCCAGTCGGCTCCATGGCCGCAGAACTCGAGACTCGGAAGGCCGCTCGGGACGGTTCCAGATCCAGACTTCCCGGCAGGTCCTGCAGGAGCTGGCCCGGAGGACGGACCATAGCAAGCATTCTGGGGCGTGCTGCGGGTAGTGTTAGGTCGGGCCTGTTCCCCTACAGGGGGGTTTTGGCAGAAACATGGAAAATGGACACCATAGAATCGAACAACTTGTTTTGTAAAAAAACAAACATCGTCCCCATACTATTCTCTGACTATTTCTGAATACTCCTCCGGTAGAGGGACGTGCCCGGCTTGAGGGTAGTGCAAGCGCTGCCCTTTGTTTTCGGATCATATCGGCTAGGCGTAAGAGTGACCCTGGGTAAGAGTGACCTTCGGTGCGTAGCTTTTGGGGGCGCGAGGGAGCCAAACCCAAGGGCGCGGGCCGCTTATATCGCATCGCGCTCGGCGATCGGGGGGAGCCCGATGAGCCCGCACCAAAGGTCACTCCGGCGAAAGGTCACTCTTACGTGCAATCGATCATAACTCGGCTGCCTGGCGGCCGTCCGGGACGATCTGGACACCCCCGGAACGCCCTCGGCGGGGCGCAGACGCTTGAAAACACCCCGGGGCTCCTCCTCCTCCTCCTCCTCCTCCTCCTCCTCCTCCTCCTCCTCCTCCTCCTGGCAAGTCGACTAGCAGACGTGAACCTCGAGCCTATCCCTTACGCGTCGTCCCCGAGATCGGCCCGCCCGTGGGCGGCCGCGGCATAGGGGGAGGGGGCACCGAGATGGGCCCAGGGACACCCCAACACCAAGGAAGATACACGCAAATCACAGGACTCCCCACACTTCCCAACATCTTCTAGGTTTTCGTCTTCCACCCCAGTTCCTATGTTTTGCTTTGACATGTTCCTGGGGAATCGACGATGGATTGTGTCTGTGTGCTCTCGAAGGCCACAGCGCTCAGAGAGTGGCAGAGGCCGGGGCCTCTGCCGCGGAGCGAGGCAAGGGGCCCGGAGGGGCGCTTCCAGGCCATGCCCAGACACCCACGGGCCATCAAAGAGGAGGAGGAGGAGGAGGAGGAGGAGGAGGATAAGGAGAGAGGAGGAGAAGAGGAGGAGGAGGAGGCGCAGGGGGAGGAGGAGGAGGTGGAGGAGAAGGAGCAACGAAGATCAAGACGGTCGCTGATTTACTGTCCTCTGGGGGCCACCGCTGGGCCCTGGGACAATAAGAGAAGGCACGGGATCGAAAGCCGGCCCCACGAAAGGTCGAGACCACTGGCAGTTCGCGTCCCGGAAAAAACAAGACGTCGGGGCAACGATCGGGGGGGACGCCCGAAATGGGTACGGAAAGAATGGGTACGATGTCCAACAGCAGTTCCTGTCCATTTTTAACAGGACTCGCTGTCCGCGCCGCCACGGCCTGTCCATTTGAGACAGAAGGCCGCCCGCCCAACAGTGGCCGCTGTTGGTTTGGGACAGCATTTGTTGTGTTGGGCATTGTACCCATTTTTGTCCGTACCCATTTCGGGCGTGCAAAGATAGGGGAGGACTGGCATGGTGGGGGGGAACGTCGACCTGGAATCGGCGATACGCCGCCGACGGATCTGCGATGGGCCCCCGACAGCGAATCCACACGTTCCTGGACGGGGGGGTGGGGCGTTTAAGTCGGGCCTGTCCCCCTACAGGGGGATTTTCGACGAACATTATAACAAAATACCCCAAAAATAATTTGAAACATTGTCCAAACATAATACGGGGACTATCTTTTGAGTATTTGTTTGCCATTGTGGTGCATTTTTGGTGTCTTTTTTAATTTTTGTCGAAAACCCTCCTGTAGGGAGACGCGCCCGACTTAACCCTCGGTGCTCCCGAGGGATGCAGTCAGTCCCTGTGATAAGGCTTGGCGGTAAGGATGCGAGGGCTTTGGAAGGCCATATCGACGCTCTGCGAGCGGGGCGCGGCCAGCGAAAGCGGCCAAGGATGGGCCGCTGGCGCGAAAGCGGATGCAAAGGCAGGCGCCCCCGGAATCGAATCGACAAGTCGGATCGCCGATCGAGATGAATCGGATCGGCGGAAATCGGCTGCCGGGTCGGGACAAGTCGAATCGGCGGGAATCGGCAGGTTATTAGTAGGCATCCGTTGAAGAATCGGCAACCAAATCGGAATCTGAAGTCGAATCGAATCGGAATCGGCGGATGCCACCAAAATCGAATCGAATCGAATCGGAGGAATCGAAATGAGCCCTGCAAGGGCAACCTTGGAGACTTGTTCGACCTTGCTATGCGGGTTCACTGCACGGGTGGCCATCGTCACGCCGCGGTGGACCGCCCCGAGACCTCTCGGCGAGGCGGCGCTGCGGGAGAACGGCTTGGGACGCGAACGCCCTCGGGCGTCGCGAGGGCTTGGGACGCAAGAGCACTCGGAAGTCGCGAGGACCCTCGCTTCGTCACCTGTTAACGGGGAGCACGACGACACCAATGGGGACTTGGGTTGGACGCCTAGTATATCCCCCGCTAACGTTGCCCCCTGGCCTTCGGGCCATAGCTTGGCTCTCTGGGGGCTGGCCGGGACGATCGAGACACCCCCAGAACACCCTCGGCAAGGCGCAGCCGCTGGAAGGCCACCCGAGGCTGAAAAACCGACGAGATCCGACGAAAACCCCTCGGAAACCTCGACCGTCGTTGCACCTGAGGGCGGCATTGGCCGCGCTCGTGCCAAACACACAGCGCCCGCCGCGACGCCCACGGCGACCGAAGTCAAAATGGACAGGAACTGCTCTTGTTCTATCATTTCGCCACATGAACGTACCCCCTTACCCCCCCCCCCTGCGCGTGACTGAATCTCCGCCACCTCCCCTGACCAAGCCTTACCCCCCCCCCCCGCCTGCGCGTGACTGAACCTCCTCCCCCTTCCCTGACGCCGACGGGCGGCGGGACGGCCGAACCGACCCCTTCCGTGACGAGCACCTCCCGTGACGTCCCCGGCGCCCTCCAGGCCTCCCTCCGGCCGCAGACGCACGTCCTGAGATGAGGCATGGGGGACGCCACGGCAGGGGATCGTGTGCCAGGGATCGGTTAGGCCGCCCGTGCTCGAAGCGTCACATCCTCGAGGAGGAGGCGGAGGAGGAGGAGGACGAGGAGGAGGAGGAGGAGGAACGCGAGGAGGAGGAGGAGGAGGAGGACTAACGCTTCAGGCTCGGGCCCTTAGTTCGCGCAACGTCAAAAAAAAGGAGGCGGAGGAGGAGGAGGCAGAGGAGGTAGAGGAGGAGGAAGAGGACGGGCAGAGGAGGAGGTGGAGGAGGCAAAGGAGGCAGAGGAGGCAGAGGAGGTAGAGGAGGTGGAAGAGCAGGAGGAGGAGGAGGAGGAGGAGGAGGACGAGAGAAGGTAGAGGTGGAGGAGAGGAGGAGGAGGAGGAGGAGGAGGAGGAGGAGGAGGAGGAGGAGGGGAGGAGTGGAGGAGGAGGAGGAGGAGGAGGAGGAGGAGGAGGAGGAGGAGAGGAGGAGGAGGAGGAGGAGGTCGAGGAGGAGGAGGAGGAGGAGGAGGAGGAGGAGGAGAAGCAATCCCCCTCCCCTGACCTCGCGGGCGGCGGGGCGGCGGAGACCCCCGCACCTGGGCGGGGCCGCGGCCGGCGGCGAGCCCGCAGCGGGCCGCGACGGGCCCGAGGGGCCCGGGCCAGCCTCGCGCCGGGCGGGGGTGCTTCGGCGCAGCGGTCGCTGGCAGTGGCGGGGGTGCCGGCGTGGCCATCGGCGCGGGAAGCGACGGTTGGGGAACGGCCTACAGGGTGGTGTTAACAGTGGCGCTGAAGGGCGGTCGCCGTGGCAACGAGCTCGCCAGTGGCGAGGTGCGTCGCGGCGACGGCGGTAGCAGTGATCATGGTACCGGCAACGATGTCGGCTGCGTTGGAGGCGCTCGCGGAACGCCTGCGAAATGGCACAACTTCGGAGGGAGGCGAGCGCGTCCCCAAAAAGGCCCCTGATAGCCCAAGGGGGCCTCCAAAATGGCACCGGGCAGTCCAGGCTGGCACAATACATGCCTCATCGCGCGTCCACGAGCCCCCGAGACAGCCCAAGGGCGGCCCCGGCCGGCCACGGAGTCTTCCAGGGCGCCCCTCGCTAGTCCCACATACGTCATACACTGACACAGGGTCGACGATGCTTGCGTTTTTGTTCGCCATCTCGCCCGCTCGGTTTTGTTGAGGCTTGGAAAAAGCTCGGATTATGCCCAAAAGAAGACTTCCGAAAAGCCAGCGAAACATCACGGGTGGCCCGAACAGCGCCCGCGGAGCCCACGACGGCCCTGGTTACGTGCTGAAGCGCCGGTTTTTGTCCCCTCATTGCTCCCCCCCTGCAGCCTGACCCTCTCCCGATATCTCCACCCCTCCGCCTTGTACCGAATCGTGCGCCGCGCTAAGCCGATCTAACTCATGGGCCGCCGTGGGCCCTGACACAAGACACCCTGAGCCCAAAGAAGTACCCCGGGGCCCTGTGGGGCCCTGTAACCTGGAACCCTGAAGCCCATGAGACACAGCCCATGTCGGCAGACCCGCCACGCGGGGCGCAGGCGCGCGCGCGTCGCCTCCACGCGGCGCGCAGAGGCAGCGAAGCCGCAGCAGGGCTTTCCATAAGTCGAGGAGGGGCACTGGCAGCAGCAGGAAAAGGGGGAGGAGCAACAGGGAGAGGACCGATATGTGGAGACGTCACAAGCAGTGAAGAGAGGGCAGCCGCAGTAGCAACGGCAGGCGCGAGGTGGAAACAAGCTAGGGCCCGACCTCCCTTCCGACATCCCCCCTGCCCGTTACCATTTGCCCACCCCCGTTCCCGCCCCACCCCTCCCCCCCTCCCTGTGCCCGTTCCTGCGCGCTCTTCCTCCCCATCGTTTTGCTTCCCCTTCTCATGGTCAGATTTGAGCAGAATCTCTGTGAATGGAATCGAACAATCGGCGACGACGTCGGCGGTGGCCCTCCCCGCCCCTCTCCTTGCAATCCCCCCCGCCCCCCCCGCCCCGAACAATTCCTGCCCTGGGCCCCCCGCGAAACCATTCCCCCCCCCCCGACTCGTCCTCCGCCTCCTCCTCTGACTACCCCTCCTCGCCCACATGACTCTCCCCTCCTGTCAATGTATATATCATCGTCATTCCCCTTCCTCTTTCTCCTCGTCCTCGCCCGCGACGCGCGTTCAAGGAGCCTCGCCATTGGAGGCCGCTCAAAAACGCTCTGGCGCGCGGGGCACGAGAAGTGCCGCGCGCACCGAGTGCGCCAGATACACCGATTGCGCGAAGTACGGCAGGTGCTGCTCCGGCCGCGCCAGGTTCGCCAAATGCGCCTGGTTCGCCACTTGCCGCAGGAATGGCAGGCGCGCCACACGCGCAAGTGCGCAAAGCACGGAACGGCCCAACAAGTCGGGAAGCATAGGCCCCGCAAATAGGCAGCCAAGTACTCCAGATTTCGTAATAAAAGGGAGGGGGTCTGGACCCTCCAAGACAAGCCATTTCAGACCTCCCCCGTGGGAGAACCCTCCAAAACATCGTCCCCAGACCCCCCCAGGCCCTCCAAGATAGCCTGGAAGAGACCCCCCCCGAAATGAGACCTCCCTCCCTTTCTTACGAAATCTGGTGTAGGCCCCGCAAATAGCCAGCCAAGTACTGACCACAACACTCTCGCGGCCCCGAGAACCACCACGAACCATCCAGACCCCACGAAGCAATCGTCTTGCAACGCGTCAACGCTGCACGTCAGTCGCAAGAAGCGCTCGACCACGACCGACCGTTGAGAATGACGGCTAGCAAAACAGTGCACCACTCCACCACGAACAACGCACATGCTTATCCAGACAGGACGCACGTCACACCACGCGAACATCTCCTCTGAGTATCGGTACATCTACGGGCGAAACTGGCGCCAAGCCACCAAAAAAGCATTCGGGCACAACCCGCTCGGGACTTGGACCCGTTCGCCCACGGTTAGACACGGAGACCGCCATCTTAAAACAAGGCCGCCTCAGCGGGCAATGTCGTAATGTGTGCTTGTACGAGCCGAACAAAACCGTGATCGCATCTGGTCCGTAAGCTCTCAGGATCAGGTCGGGAATGTCCTCCTGCAAGCGGGCTTTCGACGAAACAATAAAACATAATCAAACGATATTCCAAACTATCAAACACAAATCGTCGAACATCGTCCTCAGGCTATTTTTCTACTGTTCTGGACTTTCCACCTGTAGATGGACATGTCCGAGAACATCTTGGGAGGGCCGGGGCGCCTCGCCCCCTGCGTGACGATGGGCGCCCCCGCCCTTGCGAAGACGGGCGCCCCGTGCCCAAGGCGGAGCGCGGCCCCAGACCCCACACGTGCTGCCGTGCGCCAGATCGACGCGCGATGGGCGGGGGCGTCCAAGGGGGGGGGGGGTGCAAATCGCATGAGCACAAACACCCTCCTCCTCTTCCTCCTCTCCTCCTCCTCCTCCTCCTCTCCTCCTCCTCTCCTCCTCCCTCCTCCTCCTCTCATACCCCCTCCTCCCCCCTCCTCCTCCTCCTTCTCCTCCTCCTCCTCCTCCTCCTCCAAGATGGCTTGGCATGGGATCGATAACGAGAGATCGATAATCTGGAGTCCTGAAGCGGTGCAGCGACAGACCTTGCGGGGACCTCGAAATCCCCCAAGACCTCACCGCACGGTCCGTCAACGCACGGTTTTGGGACCTCGGATGCCCCAGTCGCCCGAGATGTCCTCGGAGAACGACCCGAGACCCAAAACCGTGCGGTAACCCCGAATCCCCACCGACTCACCGCACGGTGTGGTCACCACCCCGTTTGGGGGCCCCCGAGATAAAAAGATCGACCGGGGACCGGGGAACCCGGGAACCCAGAGCCCACCGAAATCGGCCCGGAACCAATAACCAGGAAACCCAGGAACTGGGAACCCAGGAACGAAGCTGGCTGCCAAAATCGGCAAGAAACTGTCGCCAAATCTTTCAATATCCGCTAGGACCCCTCCAGTGCAAGCACTGATTGGGGAATCGTCGCCCGAAGCACGTGCGCGGACCAGGGGGACAAGAGGAGGCGCCATGAGATCTGGGGAGATATCGTGGCCCCCGCCAGGCCACTTGCCATCGCTCGGACGTCTATTTCCCGTGCGTTTTTCGGTTCCGTGCGTGTTTTTTTGTTGGTCGATGGTCCAGGATGGTCCCCGATGGTTCTCGCCGAGATCGAGCAACGTCGTAGCTGAGTCGAAGGCAAAGCGAAATTGAGCAACGTCGTAGCTGAGTCGAAGGGAAGCCCCTTCCTTTTGATCCCTTCCCCGCCGGGGGGGGGGGGGGAGGAGGGGGGGGGTCCCGGCAGATACGCGTCCCCCCCGGGATGTCCCGGGACCTAGAAAAGCCCCCAGGCTGCCCAAGAGTGCCCCAAGAGGCTTCCAAGACGGCTCCAGAGGGCCCGAATCGCCGAACCATCGGTCGAAGACGCCAAAGTAGCCTCCAGACGGCCCAAGAGATTGCCAAGACGCTCCAAGAGGGCACGAAGAGGGACAAATCATGTTTTTGACAGATTTTGGCGTTCTCGTCGTTTCAACTTGCCGACGCTCCAAGACGGCCCCAGATGCCCCCAAGATTGCCCCAAGATAGCCCAAGAGGCCTCAAGAGAGCCCCAAAATGACCCAAGAGAGCCGCAAGACCGCCCAAGATGCCTCCAAGATGGCCCAAGAGGCTCCCCAAACAGCTCCAACAGGGTGCCCAGACGGGGGGCCCGACGAGCCCTCGGCGACAGAGGCTCCCAGGAAGCCCCAAGATGCCCCCAAGAGGGGCCACCACGAGACCCCCAAGAGGCCCCCAGGAAGCCCCAAGAGGCCCCCCCCGCCACATTACAGAACGCATGGGTCGCTCTCCAGGGTCGGCGGCACCGGCCGTAAGGCCTTCGCAATATGCACACGCCCGAGCGATGCCAGGGCCAGGACACCCCCCCCCCCCCAGTCTCAATGCGGGCCTGTTCCCCTACAAGAGGATTTCCGACGAAGAATTGAAAATATCAACAAAAATAACTAAAAAATGCTCCAAAGATAGTCTGGGGACTAGTTTTTGAATATGTTGTGACCTTTTTTTTGGAGCATGTTTGGGGTATCTTTTATGTCTCGTCGACATCCCCCTGTAGGGGGACACGCCCGACATAACCCTGGTCATCACCCCCCCTCTTGGCCGCCCCCGAGAGGGCACCGGGCCCCGACGCCCGGCGAGAAAGCGCCGGGCGCGGGGGCGGCATGTGCCACGCGCGGGCCGGCAGCCCTCGATCCTCGAGGATGTCCGCGCTGCTGCCCCTATGCCCTCGGGGGCCTCCCGGGTGGGGTGCGAGCAGATTGAAGGGGCCCCGGGACACACAAATAAACACACACACAGAACAAAACAGGATGCCCCATCATTCCCCATGTGTTTCGGGGCTTCCGTCCTCCCCCCCAATTCCCATGTTTTCCCATATTGTCCTGGGGATCGCCGCTTCATTGTGTCTGTGTTCTTTCCCCTCCTGATAGATGGGGTCCGAGCAGATGGGGTCGGAGGATCGCGCCGCATCGCCAATGCACCAGCGATGCATCGGCGACGCATCGGCGATGCCTCGGCGACGCATCGGCGACGCATCGCCTACTTCGGCATGGAGAAGATCGGGCTTCGCATCGAGCCGCGTCGCCGGTGCAGCGGCGATGCGGCGCGATCCTCCGACCCGACCTTGGGGGAACGAAGAATGGCATAAGCATAAGGACTCGGAGGTCCGCGCAGATTTCTCGGATCGGCGCTGGACCCCCCTCCCTGGCGCGCGGGAACCCGCCAGGGGCGGCGCCGGAGGCGCCGCGCCTGGGGGGCCCAGCGCGGATCCGTGAAATCCGCGCGGACCTCCGAGGTGTTATATGTATGTCATTCTTCGTTCCCCTGGACGCCACCGGGAAGGTCTGGGACCTCGGCGGGATCGGGAGCGGCCAAGAGGGGGGTGTCCAAGAGGGGGGGGGTGCAAATCATGACCGGCGGCATGTGCGCGGCCCAGCGGGGGGGCCAGGGACGTAATGAAATAAGAAGAGGCGCCATGAAATCTGGGGAGAGATCATGGCCCACGTCATGATATCCACCCCCCCTAGTCATCACCCCCCTCTTTGCCGCCCCCGACGGCGGGAGCGGCGCCTGTGCCGGCACGGAGAGCGGCCGGGACGGCGCTGAAGCACCACCGCCCCCGCGGGCCCAGGAGCACCTCTGCGGCTGCCTGCCCACCCTCCGCGGCCGCGGCACAGCGCCCTCGCCGGCCCTAGCCGCCGTCGGCGGCGTCGCCGCCGCCGCCGCCGTCCCCAGACATGCTCGCCTTCCCCAGACCGCCGACGTCATGATTTGTTCATGGCGTCGACCCCCAGAAGTCTCGGCCCATTCCCCGGGACCGGTTTTTCATCCTGAGTCGTTTTGTTGACGGTCCCGAGGGCCGGTAAGGGCCCCCCCGAGGCCGAAAATGCGGACAAACCTCCCGCCGTGATTTTTTCATGACCCGGGCGGGTCTGGGTCGTGGGAACCCCACGACAGGAATTTTGTGGTCCTTCTCGGCCTCGGGGGGCCCCAGACGTTCCGTTAAATCAGCTCGTGATGATGCCCCGGTCCTGGGGCAAGAGCCCGCGCTTCCAGGGACCCCGCATGGAGAAGCCGAGCGCGTCGGATGTCTGGGCATGCAGTCAAGAGTGATGGTGAGGATGCGCGAGAAGGATGCAAGTCAAGGGGTCCAGGGACACACAAATAAATACACACAAATAACAAGATTCCCCAGCAAGGGCCCTCGTGAGCAAGGGCCGTGGACGCCCATGCCGAAGCTTTTCGAGCGAGGCTGTCCATCGAAAGTGGTTGAGAATGGGCCGACGAGGACCGAAGGGGCAAGGATGCAAGCGTACCCTTGGCAAGTCGATCATCGTCACTATCAGTTCAGACCGAATCCGCCGTCGGCGGCGTCAGCCTCGCCGCCGACGGCCGTTCGCTTAGGCGTCATGCCTACAGAACACATCGTTTCAATGCACTTGCTTCCTGATCACAGGGGCCACACACCGATGAGGCTGTCAGCGATCCGCCGGCCTCCTCCTCCTCCTCCTGCTCCTCCTGCTGCTGCTGCTGCTCCTCCTCCTCCTCCTCCTCCTCCTCCTCCTCCTCCTCCTCCTCCTCCTCCTCCTCCCCCGCTCCTCCTCCTCCTCCCCCGCCTCCTCGTCGTCCTCCTCCTCCATCTCGCTCTCGTATAGAAAACAAATGCCTGTCACAACACCAGACGCGTCCATAGGGCGGACTGGGAGTTTCGCCTGAGACTTCCTCAGGCAACGCAACAGCTTCAAACATGGAGGCGGGCTCCGTGTCATAAGGTGACCATCGCCGTGGCCTCGCGCGCACTCGTCTTAGGAGCTCGCAACTGCTCAAAGTACGAGGGGAAGGCGGGTCGTTTAAACATGTGGTCCTCGACACAGCCCCGTGCGCACATAATTACGTCTTGAGAGTGAGCAACAGATCGAAGGATGGAGGCCCGCCGCCTTTTTTTTAAGTGGCTGTCGCGTAAGCACCGCGCACATCCACACTCAACGCCTGCATCAATTTCGCACACGCAGGGCGGGCTCTCGCGAAAAGCCCACCAGCCCTCTGGGGTCCTCTGGGCGCGGGTGGTCTAGGGTGTCTTCTCTTCCAGCTTGCCCTTTCCTTCTTCAGGGAAGGGTCCATCACTGTTCCCACCCCCCTCCCCCGGGCGACCAGCAGCCCACCAGGACCAATGAGACCCCATCACCATCCCTGTCATAAAAGAATGTGATGTACACTTTGGGGTAAAATCTTGGATCATGATCGGGGGGGGGGCGAGCACGTTGCATTGTGTCTGACAGGGACGGCGGTGGTGCCCGAAAACTGCCTTGCGCGCAGGGCCAGCACCCCTGACAACACCAGTACAACATGCACTTCGAAGCAAAATCTTGACCATGCGCAGCGGGAACCCCGCGATTACTGCGCACTGGTTCTTGACTGGGGAAGGGGGGGGTTCTGGCATTTTGCCTGCTGCGTGCAGGCCAACCATGAAGGGGCCCTGGGACACACAAATAAATCCACACAAGTAAAAAAAAAGATTCCCCAAAGTTTCTCATATTTTCTGTGCATGTTTTCTTCCCCCCACTTCCCATATTCTCCCAGATCTTCCGGGGGATCGACGATGAATTGTGCGTGTGTTTTTCCCCTCCTGAAGCAAAACGCTATGATGGCCACCCCGCCGCGATTGCGCACTCGACCGTCAGAACCCGTCGCGTTGCGAAACAACTCTCGGTCGGGGGCATGCCCTCGCGTCTCCTCCTCCTCCTCCTCCACCTCCTCCTCCTCCTCCTCAACCTCCTCCTCCTCCTCCTCCACCTCCCTCCTCTCCTCCTCCTCCTCCTCCTCCTCCTCCTCCTCCTCCTCCTCCTCCTCCTCCTCCTCCTCCTCCCCCTCGCGTTGCGGGACAACACTTGGCCCGGGGGGGGACGCCCTCGCGTCGCCAAGACATCGCAGCAGAGTCTGCTCTTGCCCCCCCGTCTTCGGCCCTGGGGGGCCCCTCGCTGTACCCCGCGCGCTCCCCGACCCGCTCGCGCCGCGAACAAACAGTCCTCGGCGGGGGTGTTCTGGCTTGCGGGGCCTCGGGGGGCAAGTGGCTGGGCCCCGCGACCCATTGATCTGAAAGGCAAAGATAAGGGGGGGGGGGGGTGGGATAGGCATGTGGGGGGACACGTCGACCCCGAAGAGGCGATACGTCGCCGATAGATCGGCGACAGGCCCCCGATAGTGAATCCGCACCTTCCTGGGCAAGCTGGGGCTGTCGGGCCCCTATCGGCGATCAATGGGCGATTGGGGGTCGATGCGTCCCCCCCTATGCCTATCCCCCCCTATCGTTGCCCCTGGGGAACCCCCTCGCGTCGCGAGTCTTGCCGTCGCTCGGACGTCCATTCCCTGTGTTTTTGTTCGGTGTCGTGCGTGGTTGTTTCGCCAAATGATCACGGATGCTCCTCGATGGTCCTCGCCGAAGAGAAGATGCACACGTCCAAGCGATGCCAGGAGAGAGGATCGCGGGGGGGGGGAGGTTTCCGGCCGCTCGCGGCCCCTGGGGGCCCTCGCGGGGGGGCCTCGCGACCCCCAGGTCCCCCTCGCGCCGCAACAAGCCATCGCCGCGGCGTAGGCGGCGTGCCTTTTGGGGAGGGAAGGGGGGTGCGTTTAGGGGTGCCTCTGGGGGGCCCTCGCTGGGCCTCTCGACCCTGGGGGACGGCTCGGGGCGGAGAGCCCGCCCAAGGGAGGGGGCCCGAACCTCCAGTCCGGGGCGTCCCGGAGGGGGGCGTCCAAAAAGGGGGTGCGCAACTCATGGCCCGAGGTTTCTTAACGAGCAGGGTCGGGCGACAAGCGCTGCCGCAAACGCCCCGAAGAGGCGCCCGATTCAGTCGGGCACCTCGGGGAGCTGCGCGATACGCCGCGCCGCCAACGCCGCGAATTCGTATACGCTGCCCATGGCTCGAGGAACGTGCGCGGACCAGGGGGTGGCCAGTGAGCACAGGGAAATTGGACAAGGGGTCACGAAATCTGGGGAGAGATCCTGGCCTCGGCCATGATATCCACCCGTACCTGGTCTTCCCCCCCCCCTCTTGGCCGCTCCCGATCCAAGAGGTCGACGCTGTAGAACAAATGCGACGCCGGGGGGTCTGGGTCTGGCCTTCCTCTTCGCGGGCGCCGCGGCGCCCGACACCAGAGCCCCCGTGGACCTCGGCTCCCTCCCTCGGGAGGCAGCTCCTCGGGGAGGATCGTGGTAGGAACGGCGAGCCCGAGTGAGGGGCTACTGGGTCAGATTAGCCCAGGTTCGGCCTGGGCTTGAGCCAACCTCTGCTGGATTGAACAGGCCTGTAAGCCAAACTACGCGGGATTATGCTGGATTGGAGGGGCCTCCGACCACGGATTGGAAGGATCTTCGACCACGGATATGGCAACGCCAATGCTGAAATTTTCCTCCCACCATTTGCATTCTAGCAGCACCATGGGCCCCTATAGATACTGGGTCTTTGTCAGTACGTAGTCCTGAAGTCTCGCCCCCCACCCATCGCGGATTGCCTTTTCAACCTGAGCTCCCGGGGCTCAGCGAGGGGCTTTAGAGGCTGAAAACAAAGAAAAACATCCGCCTCAATCGCTTCAACACGTTGGTTCCGGGTTCTAGGAGCACCGATTGCCTCAGACCCCCGACGTCCGGAAGTCTCGACCCCATTTCCCGTCGCCGGTCTTTCATCCAAGAACGTCGTTCGACTGCCCCGAGGCCCAGCGAGGGCCCCAAGAACACAACAACCACAACATCAAACATAATCTTAAGACTGCTCGCTCTCGCGCGTCATTCCATATCATATCTCAAACCCTGGATACCCGCCCTTTCTGTCTTCGATCGTGCCCCCTTTGGGGGGGGGTATCCATTCCCTGCTACGTGTGGTTGGCGAAGCCCTTGAAAATGAAGGGTAACAGATAACGGAGGGGCGAGAGGACGACGGGATCGAAGGAAGGGAGGGGAGGGGCAAGGAGGGATGACGATGATTTGCGCTGCGAGTGGCGATTCAGCTTGCGCCATGGTTTGCGCCAGCCACTCTTACACAAATTAACCATAAGTCTCGCCATGGGTCGCGCCATAAACAACGCCACGTACCACCCCCTTGAAAGAACATATCGTGGATACCCCCCCGGGGGGACGTACAGCTGCGAACTGGTGTCAGAAACAAATTTCGTGGAACCCTGAAGAGAAGCGGGATGTTGGCAGACTGGAGCGGCAGGATGGTGAGAACTGCACCTGTGCCGAAAGGAGCGCGGGAGCCCCAAGTGAGAGCGATTCTTCAATACATTGCGAGGAAATATCAAGCGGGAGCCGCGATCCGGTGGTAAATTGCAAGGCGGTCCCTAGCGAGAGCGCGATTCTTCAATAACTTGTGGGGGGAATATCAGGCGGGAGCCGCTGTTGTTGTAAACCGGGGGCCAACGACGCATTTTGACCCTAAAGACTTTCCCTGGTAAAAAACAGGGTGCGAGCCCCGGGAAGGGCACTTGAATAGAAAAACAAGGTGTACCGGACTGGGGGTATCAACATATTCTTCAATAATACAAATTCAACCACAACAACAAGAACACCTTCCGTCGTGACTGTTCCATGACTCGAGGGTGTCTGGGGCCCTCGGCTCCGCCTCCACATCTGAATAACAATCGAGGACCCCCCAAACTCGTTGGGAGCGGACTTAACTTACCTTCGTTGGCCGAAGACATCAGGGGCATTGGGCCTTCTCAGCAGATGCACCAATTGAACCCAAACATGTTCTAAGAACAAACACATGTTCTAAGAACATGTGTTTGTTCTAAGATTAGTATTGTTGTTCTAAGCCCGATGTGTTCTAAACCCGATGCGCTAAAACAAGACAGTCCCAGTCAGAGATGTTTTAAGAAAATGCCTTGGAAAACACAAAAGGTTCTTGGAACATTGATTGATAAGCCTACAGGCACGCCAGGACGCTTCGCCACTGCTTGACAGGTGGATCTCCCCTAGTGCAAAGATGGGGACCTTACTTACGCTACGGCTTCATTGTGTGGTTAGGGTAAGTCGGGCCTGTCCCCCTACAGGCGGTTTTTTTCGGGGCGAACATGAAAAGAAACAGGACAATGCTCCAAACATGTTCAAAAAAATAAAACACAAGCAAACAAACAAAGTCCTTCGACTATATTTTAACAATCGTTGGATATTCCCCCATGTAGAAGGATTTGAGGTTAGGGTCAGGGCTCTTACTATCGATGATCCTCCCCCCTTAAGCAAACGGCGCGCACGAGGTAGTACAGGGAGGGGGGGGGGGGGAAAGGCTCCCTTAGAAGGAGGGGGCCCAGGGACACCCAAATGAATATACACAAATGCCCGGATTCCCCATAGTTTCCAATATTTTGTCGGTTTTTGTCTTCCCCCCACTCCCAATATTTTCACATATTTTCTGGGAATCGGCGATGAATTGTGTCTGTGTGCTTTTGTTCCCCTCCTTACAGGAGGATGCTGCTTCTTAAAAAGCGCCGGCCGCACATCTGCAGACAATCAGATGCTCATTCTGGGGACCTTTTTGGGGCCCATCGCTCCGCTTGTGCGTCGAAGCTGCGCCGAACGACCGTCGACTCGAGTCGAACCTGAGTCGAACCTGAGTCGAACTGGAGTCGAACTGGAGTCGAACTGGAGGCGAACTGGAGTCGAACAAGTCCAGTAGGTGTGCCCCAGGAAGGTCCCCAAAACGAGCATCGAAAGACAAGGCCCGCGCCTGCTAAGAGACAGGGGTGCTTCTAAGACGCCGTCCCCCCTCCCCCCGACCCCCCCCCCCTGCTCGCCGCCAAGGGGGCCAAATCCGCTCGAAATCGGTCCCCGGACCCCTCCCGGGGTCCGTGCAGCGCCAGCTTCCACACCCGCTTCGTTCCTGTAAAAGGGGCCCTGGGACGCGCCAATAAATATACACAAATGACAGGATCACCCATATGTTCACACATGTTCGGGGTTTCTGCCCTCCTCTCTGCTTCCCAGAAGTTCCCATATTTTCTCGGGAATCGACGATCCATTGTGTCTGTGTGCTTTTTCCCCCTCCCGATCCCGACGGTCCCAGGGCCGGAAAACGGCCCCCCGAGGCCGAAGACGGCGCACAAAAAAGAGAGTCCTCCTCCCCTCCCCCTGCTCGCCTCTGCGCATGGCCGAGCCTTCTCGATGGTCGGCGGTGGCCGAGGCAAATAGCAATAACGCGGCATGGAGGCCCGCAGAATGTTCGACATCAGAGGTCATCTCGCGAGGACGGGGGCACATCGGCCTAATATGGAACGAAACTGCGCAGCAGCCTCAAGATACGGAAAACGAGACAACTCTGAAACCAGACAAGTATTGTAAACTCAGCGGCCAGCCGAAGCTGGGAGTGGCCACTCGGCTGGCCGCTGAGTTCCTGGCGGTGGCCGAGGGGGGGAAGTGAGGAGGGGCGGGCCTTCTCAGAAGGCTCGAGAGTCCCCCAGACGCCTGAGAAGCTTTCGAGGCCTCGGGAGAGAAGAGAAGCCTCTCAGAAGGCCCGAAGGCTTCCACGAAGTCGGGCCGCCTCCTGAGAAGGCCTTCTCCTCCTCGTTTTCGGGGGCGTCCAAGAGGGGGGTGTCCAAGAGGGGGGACGCAAATCATGGCCGGCGGCATGTGCGCGGCCCAAAAGGGGGGACGGGGACATATTGAAAGAAAGAGCGGCGCCATGCTATCCGGAGAGAGACGGTGGCCCCCGCCACGATATCCACCCCCTCCCAGTCATCACCCCCCTCCTTCGGGGGCGTGCAGACATGGAGTAGCGATCTATGGATTTCGCGCGCGGTCGCGCCAAATCCGTGGATCGGGGGAGGTGCCCTCCCCAAAATGCGGCCGGTGCCGCCTCGCTCGGCGGCAGAAATCCGCGATGTCCCATGGAAGCGGGACCCGTCGCTATGAGCCACGACGCCCCCTTAATCCGTGTTTGCGATCGCAGGATTCTTGGCCGCCCCCAACATTTCCCCGCCTCGCTATGGGGAAACCAAAAGGTACCGATACCGCTGCTTCCCGGACCTCTCCTGGGGTGCGTTCCGACCAGGACTTCGAGGCGAATCCAGCGGTGGCGACGAGGGCCGCCCAGGAGGCCGAAAGCGGGGAAGCACGAGGGAAGGGCAGAGGCAGGGGTACTCCAAATTTCGTAATGAAAGGGAGGCAAGACAAGCCGTTTCAGACCTCCCCCCGTGGGAGCACCCTCCCAAACATCGCCCCCAGACCCCCCCAGGCCCTCCGAGATAGCCTGGAAGAGACCCCCCCCCCGACATGAGACCCCCCGCCCTTTGTTACGAAATCTGGAGCACCCATGGTTTTTTCGCCGTTTCCTCCTCCTCCTCCTCCTCCTCCCCCTCCTCCTCCTCCTCCTCCTCCTCCTCCTCCTCCTCCTCCTCCTCCTCTCCTCCCCCTCCTCCTCCTCCTCCTCCTCCTCCTCTCCTCCTCCTCTCATCCTCCTCCTCCTCCTCCTCCTCCTCCTCCTCCTCCTCCTCCTCCCTCCTCCTCTACTCCTCCCCTCCTCCTCCCCTCCTCCCTCCTCCTCCTCCCTCCTCCTCCTCCTCCTCCTCCCTCCTCCTCCCTCCTCCTCCTCTCCTCCTCCTCCCCTCCTCCTCCTCCTCCTCATCCTCCGACGCTCGCCGCCGAGAGGAGCCCCCCCCCGCCCCCCCCCCTGGTCCAGCACGAGGGCGGCCGCCAGCGCCCTCCGCGGTGGCCCGCGCCGTGGCCTGCCGAAGGGCGGGCCCACCGGGCGGGCCGCGGCCCCCACGCCGCGCGGGGCGGTCCTCCTCCTCCTCCTCCTCCTCATCCACCCCGCCTCCTCCTCTTCCTCTTTATCCTCTTCCTCCGCCTCCACCTTCTCCTCCTCCTCCTCCTCCTCCTCCTCCAGCTCCTCCTCACCCTCCTCCTCCTCCTCCTCCTCAGTTCCCTCCTCGTGGCGGGTGCCACGGGGGCCCAGGAGCAGCTCGAGGGGCTGCTGCCAGAACTTCTGGGAACTCTCTGGGACTCCAGGGGCTTCTGGGCCTCTGGGGCCTCTGGGATCGGGCCGGGCGAAAGGGGGGGATTGCAAAGGGAGGGGTTTGAGAATCGGCTCACGCAGCTGATTTTCCTGGCTCCTCCCGGCGCCGGGCGGCGCCCATGAATCGAGGAATGGGCCTGGCGGCGGGGCCGAAACCAGCTGCATGCAGCAGATTCCCTAACCCACCCTTTCCCTATCTCCCCCTTTCGCTCGGCCCGATGGGACTCCTGAGATGTCGTGGGGGGATTCAGGGGCCTTCTGGGACTTCCAGGACTGCCGGAAGGTCGTCGCGGGCCGCTCCCCACGGCTTCTGGGACTTCTGCTGCAGTCGAAGCGCCGGCCTATGAAACCTCGAACCAGGAACGGAGCCCCCTCTTCTGATGAAAGACAACTTCGATCTTCCAGCGAAAACCGGAGGACAGCCGGAGAATAACGACAAAACCACCAGAGCCCCTCACCAACGAGAAGGGTTCCTTACTCAACGGCCCGACTGTACCGACGACCCTCATGGAGAAAATCCTGGAGGCCTCGCGCGGCAACTTGAGACCCGATGTACGTCGGATCCACGGCGGATTTACGTCGGGTTCCCGTCGGACTGCGTCGGATTTACATCGGATTTACGTCGGACTGACTCCGGAGCATCGCCGCGCAAGCGTCGACCCACAGCTTACGGAACTGACAAATGGACTAGATCATGCTACGATTACGCGCCGCGCGAGGCCTCCAGCATTTTCCTCATATCGGGGATGGACAGACCCCCCTTTAGTAAAACGTGGTTTAGTGAAAACGACCTGAGGCCCAAACCTGGCGGGCGCAAGCCTGGGAAACAACGGCCACGGCGCCCTCTCGAGAACCGAAAACGGACAATTCACTAATCGACGTGTCACTGTTGGGGGTTCTGTCCAGCCCCGATCATAACGATCCTGACCTCCAACGTCTCGAGAGGCTCAATACGGGAGGGGTCGGTATTCTCGGCCTTTGGGGGCCCTGGGACGGGCCCCTGGACCGTCCGAGGACGCCACGGGGGCGAGGAGCTGTGTCGTGGGCTGCTCAACAACGCGGACGGTGAGCTGTGCCGGGGGCGAGGGGCTCGCTTCGAATGCAGTGGAGGCCCCACCACAAGAAACATCCCACCAGAAACCCAATCCTGAGACCCCAGGACGTCCAGTGATGTTTGGTATGGGAACGTCGCGCTTTCCATAGCAAAACCATCGAAGCCCCGCCAAAAAACAGGGCACCCTGGAGGCAAGCAAGGCTTTCCTTGCCATCGGCCCCCACTGTAGGGGATCGACTATCGCATTGATGTACCTGGGAGTTGAATGTTGTTCGTCCGATCTACGTTAGATGCGTAAGGAGTGTGCAGATTCGACCACCGTTCTTACGTAGTGTTCGTGTGATTCGACGAACAACATTTCTAGGGTAAATCACTTCTGCAGTCGATCCCCTACTCGATCGATGTCGGGGGTGCTCAACGACGCGGACGAGGCGCTCAATGTCGGGGGCGAGGAGCTCAATGTCAATGTTGGCCACCCTTCCTGCCAACGACAGACAGCGCTGATCGACGCGGATCGACGCTAATTCGACGCGAATCGGCACTAAATCCGAACTTTGTCATCGATTACCAGACGCTCGCGCATGCGAGTGCACTCTGATGACGGAATTACGAAGACATACCAGGCTCCCATGAGTTGCTACCGAAGTCCCTGACATACAGCGTCTCGAGCGACTCAAAAAAACCGACACGGGTGAAGCGCCAGCCCTGGGGGGAAAAGGTCGGGGCTTCTTGGGGCCTCGCTCGGAGAAGCTCGAGAGATCGGATGTCTGGGGATGGAGGGGAGGCGCGGGGGGGAAGGGGAAGAGGAAGGCAGAAAGGGAGGGGGGAGGGGGGGGAGGAGGTAGGGAGGGGGCAGGAGGGGGCGGGGAAGGGAAGAGGGATGGGGGGGAAGTGAATGCAGGAGAGTGGCGCGAGGGAGGAAATCAGGGCCAGAGTAATATATCCACTCTCATAAGAAGCACCCAGACAACCGAAGCAATGTTGTTAAAGAGGGCTGAACCTAAACGGTGTTGTTCGTTTTAGTTTTGTTTTCGTCTTCCCTCGTTTTGTCTTCAGTTCGCCTTTACAGCAAAATTACATCGAAACGAAAACGGCCCACGAATCGCCAAAACACCGTTCAGGTCCAGCCTTGTTGTAAAAGCACCCCAAGAGAGGAATCGAGCAGGGCAGGGCGGTTCAGTGCACGTCCCGGGCCGTGGAGCAGACGCCAGTTGTCGGGGCCGGTGGTGTGTTTCTTCCTCCCCTCTTCTGTTTTTTTTAGAGCGGCAAGTTTACTTTGACGGGGGGGGGGGCTGAGCCTGCAAGCCTCAAGCCTGGGGCAAGGTGGGGGGCGTCGGGGGGGCGCGGAAATCACGCAAGTCGAAAGGCACTTGCACGCTAGTATTCGCTTGAAGAGGGGCGAAGGGGGGGGGGGGGGGCGAACGCCATGCAAGTAAACTTGCCTGAATCCAAAAAACAGGCTCTGGGTCATGTCGGGGGTTGCTGAAGGTGCCCCTGGTCCAGGGTGCCCCTGGCTCAGCGCACCAACGTGGAGGCCCTGGGGCCGCCACGGCCTCGCGAGTGTGTTGCTCTGGAGGCTGCGAGGGCTTCCCTTGGAATCCTGCGGGCACCCCGTGGGCCACGGGCACACATATAGCAACACCCGATCACCGGCCCGGGAGGCGACAGAGCAACTTCTTCGACGAGTCCGATTCGCCGTTTCTTTGCTGGTGCCGTGGGTATTTCTGGAGCTGGGAAAGGCGTGTGGCACAGAGGGGTGCGGTGCCAGTCGTGGATATGGAGATGCCATCTACATCAGATGATCGATAACACTGCCAAATTCAGCTTTGGCACCACCCCCCTTATGCCACACCCCCTTCCGACCTCTAAAATATTGCCCAATTCCGGCGCCGTGTTTTGCCGATTCCAGCTCCGATGCCAATCCCGCAACCGTCGTTATGCCGTTTCTGGTCGCAGTGTCTTTGCCGTTTCCGGTTTCCAGAGACACCTGTTCGGAATCGGTGAAGGAACGGCCCTAACGCTTCCTCAGCCAACCAAGGGTGAGGAAATCCCTTTCCGTGGCAACTCGTGGAAGCCTCCCGCGTCAGCTGGCCGGCTCTGGCGAACCAACCGCCGACGACAATCACCGCCGATCGACGCGGAGCCGACGCGAGTCGGCACTCCATCTGCGCTTTCTCGTCGACTACCACTTGCTCGCGCAAGCCAACGCACTCGAAGGACGACATGTCGAGGACGCACAGGGCTCCGAACTAGTTGCTAAAACGACGCGAGGATCGGGACAAGATCGGATCGGGATAACTCGGAATCACGGAGGATCGGCGGGTTGGGAGGATGTATTGGGCGCCGCGGCCGCTCCAGAGCGTTCCAGAACGCTCCGAGAGCGCTCCGGAACGCTCTGGAGCGATTTACCCTGATCCTAGCCCTGTTTTATGCCCCGCCCTCGACGCACAGGGCCTCGCGGACGACGTCGCCCTCGCGAGGAAGAAGGCCGGCGCCACCCAGGAGACGCCTCTCTCAAGCAGTTGCGAGGCGTCCTGGCGTGCCTATAGTCGTACCGAACGGTGCTCTAGGAACCGTTTGTGGCTCTGTTTTAGTTGCTGCCGAATGCCCTCGAGAGACCCGACGCGGGAGCCCGTCGCCGCTGTCGGCCTCCTGGGGCCCCTGGCCGGGCCACGGGGCCGTCGGAGAACACAGCTCGGGGGGAAGCGCTGGCCCCTGGGGGGGGAGAAGGTCGGGGCTTCCTGGGGGCCCTCGCGCCGAGAGGCTCAGGAGATCGGACGTCTGGGGATGGGGGGGAGGCGCGGGGGGGAGGGGAAGAGGCAGGCAGGAGGGGGGGGGGATGGGGCGACGGGGGAGGACACGGGGATGGGCGGGGAGGCAAGGGGGGGGGGGGAGAGAAGAGGGGGGGAGGGAGGGGGAACACAGGAGAGCGGGGCCAGGGGGGAGATCAGGGCGAGGAGGGGAAGGATGGGGGCAGGAGAAAGGGAGGAGGGAAGATGATCAGGACAGAGGACGAGGAGAGAGACCTCTCTCCCCAGACCTCCGGCGCAGTGCCCTTCTCACACCAGTGCTGACGCGTGCCTCTCTGCATTTTTGTGCGCGGCAGCCTTGCTCTGCCTTCGGCTGTGCGACCGCTGCATGGCACATGGTCCTCTCAGAATACAGTCGGGGCGTTGACCCAAGGAACCCTAAATCAGGAACGAGGCCCCTTTTTTCCCAACCATCCTGTGGTGTTGGGTCCTCGTTTTGAAGAGACGGTGCCCGCGTCCTCTCCTCTCCTCCTCTTCCCCCTCCTCCCTCCTCCCTCTCATCATCATCATCATCATCATCAGCATCATCATCATCATCATCATCATCATCATCATCATCATCATCATCATCATCATCATCATCATCATCATCTCATCTCATCATCATCATCATCATCGTTTTATCACCTTCGTCGTCATTCATCAATCGCCGGTCTCAAACATGGACACCACTTTTCGTTTGGACCCCATAGTGAGCTCCAACGAAGGCCCCAGGTGGAATAGGTCCGCATGCGGGTCACACCTCATTTCGCAGCACCCCTCACTCGTTTCCGTGGCCCCATAGGGAGCTCACCGAAGGGCCCAAGTGTCGGGCCGCATGCTGTTCAACCTCCATTTTCGGCACGACCCTCACAGTTTCGTGGACCCTTTTGGGAGCTCCTCCGAAGGCCCAAGTGT